AAAAATTTCATAATAAACATGGTCAGTAAATGACACTTATGGCTCTTTGTCGGGAATAATTGGTCGATTTGTTTAAGTGTTTAAAAAGCTCTTTTTGAAAACGATAGGCGAATCATTTATTAACGTGAAAACAAGAACTTACACCTTAGCTTACGAAAAAAAACAGCTGGATGGTAAATAATGTATAATGTAAACAAACTCCATTTGCAGCGCTTCGTTCTTTTCTAGTATCAACTTATCAACAACTACTAGAACTACCCTTGTTAGAATATTTCACTTATGTATGTCTGTCCAACAATTTTGGCCACTCTGGCTATTTTTGCATGGTTTTATTACTGATACGTTTTTTTTTATCATAAATTAGTATTATACCGTGTTATCTGACTTAAAGACATTAACGTCTGCGCTTTAAACTGCTGGCAAGCCCTTTCTGATTTTTATAGCAGTTCTGGCAAAGGAAGATTACTATTATTTGCTACAATTTATACAATTCCACTACAAAATGAAAAAGAGTTTTATAGTTGTTTTTGCCGCATTTCTTGTCTAAATCCGAACCACTCGGACTCACATGAGCTTATCGTGTTTAGAAAGAAATAAGCCTTCAAAGGTCCATATTCAATTAAATACTCAGAAGACCTCACAGGGCTTCCCGCAATATGAATATTTTTTTTCACTTTTCTCTTTTTTTTCTTCTCTCTCTGCCTGACTTCAATTTCATAGACTATTTCTGAAGTATGGTTTTTTTTTTTTCAACTACGATATTGATCGTAAAATTGAAACCAAACCAGTCTAGCAACCAATGGAGAGCCTCCTCGTGGATAGACAACCCCTAAAATTCGATACATTCCTAATCGCCATTTAAGAAGCGGTGGATTACGTACTGTTCGACTATTTGGTGCCAAAAAAGTTTTGTTGGCACTCGTATACTGTGTCATTCGCAGTATTCGTCTCAATAACTTCACTCGTCTTCCCTTTTTCCTCGCCATCGTTACCTTACGCCGACTGATAGGAATGTTTAATTTTTATACAGGCCAATGAAAGAAAAGTATAGGTGTTGGTAATGCAATTTGTTACCTATCAAACTGAAGTCTGGCATACTATCAGCCATTTGATGTCTTCAGCTCCGACTTCAAAATTGCGAGTGGCTACCACCTATAGAGAGAACCTTTTGACGAGCGTCACTAAAAGTACTTACCTGAAGTCTGGCGCACTATCAACCACGACTTCAGCTCCGATTTCAAACAGGAACTGGCCACCGTTTGTTGAGGGAAGCTTTTTATGAGTGTTTATTATCACAGAAGTTACCTCCTGAACACACCACACGTTTGGTTTTTTCCTCGACAGATCCGGTACCGTATACGCATGCTTGAGGCGTGATTCCACCGTGAGCGATGTTAATTTTCCCAACTTATTTGGTGATCTGTGCATGATGCAACGAATTGGGACGATACGCATCGGTGTTTTGCGGAATCTGTCGTTCATTTCTGAGCATACGTTGGGATTGTAGATAACCCAGGCCTTAGCTAGTAAATCTGGGCCTTCTGTTAAGTCATGTGTCAATACTTTAGAATCCCGAATGGTGGTCATGATGCTGACGATAGCGTTCAGAGACCAGCTCACGAGGAAGGCTGCAATTGACATGGAATCATGCGTACGACTTTGATTTCGGATTTTCTTCTGCTAACTTGAATTGAAGGGCTTCCAATTATTGGTTGCTGTGCTTGAATAAACCGGCCAATAAAACAAGTTCTTTAGAGCAATTTTAAATGAGTGTCCAAAATAATTTTGGATTGCTTTGGATTTGTAACTGACTAACCGATTAGATGCCGAATCAAAGCCGATGACGACTTTGTGACTAGCATTTTCCCGCACTCTAGGTAGCTTGTTTGTATGTTTATTTATTTTTTAAGTGTTTTTTACTAAATACTCACGATATTTTCTTCAAAGTTTGATTCACAGTGTGGACTTAACCCGATGGAATCGAGTAGCTTTCCAAAGAATAACTTAAAGTCGTCGTACGGCTAAATATAACTCACTTGTCGAATCCAATGCAAGGAGAATAGACTGAGAATAATAACTGCCCCTATTCTCCTCTTTCATCTTCACTACTGGTGAAGAAAGTTCACTGACCTATATATTCTGTAATAAGAATAGTGATGACGCTTAATAGCAGAACAAAGCCGACGAAAACTAATAACATATTGTACCCCACTCCAGCCCATGTTTCAGGCGACCACTTCGGACAGTAGCTGATGACGAAGGCGCCTGCGACGAATTCGTTTCAGCCCAGCGACGGTGGAATCATGGCCATCACTCCGTACGTACGCCTACGTAAGAGGAATGATGCGGGCCATTTTGCGTCTGGGGATTTTTAACTTGTTGCTGACCTTGCTTATGGCAGAATGCATTACCAGACCCATTATAGTCAAGTTAGCAATGAGATCGATAACAACAGGGCCGTTGATAAATCCCGACCAAATTCACTAGAGCGACTTTTACGCATGTTGAGCTTGGAGGAAGTAAAGTTGGCTGCGAGAACGACTGGTTATCTAAAGACAATAATAATGATGTCAGCGATCGCGAGGTTCACTGATCATGAATGGGGTGATGCTCTTGTTCCTGTGCTCTGTGTTTTTTTGTTTGTTTGTTTGTTTGTTTCTTTTTTTTCACAACGATAAGTTTGCATGACCACTCTCTGAGTTCTGCTTTTTTACTCCAAATTTAAAAAAGATACATTTGAATATTTTTTTTTCACCGAACGTGTTTCAAGGAGGTGAATGAAAGGATTTCTACGCCTCCCAATAGACATTAATTCTCATACCTCATGCTATTGTGTGTACTTGTGACTTTTCTAACAATAACAGCGAGTGAAAGTGAGATTTTTTCGCTCCCATTGTTATTAACGGTAATTCGTTTACTCTATCAAAAAATAGATATAAGTATTAGGTTGTAATGTCTGTTGATTTAGGACGGAATAAAAATAAAATAATTCTGTTACAAATATTATTCCCTTCTGTCCTATGACTCCCAGACCCCTTAATTTCGGTTCCAGGCCTAACACTCGGTGATTTGATTTTATCAACTAAGTTGGTTATGTAAATTAGACACACCTGGTGGTCGCGCCTAAAAATTGGACACCACGTTAACAAAGTTCATTTAACGCAGGTAATATTCTTATTCAGAACAAGAAATCGACCATACTTTAAACATTCTTAACATGGAAAACACACTTAATAAGTTTGGGTGCGAAAAGACTCAACTTACTGGGTACGAAACGATCGGTAACTGAAACTGACCTTCATACATGACGGCAGACACGCATGCTTGTTTTTTGTTTGTTTGTTTGTTTGTTTTCTTGTTAGTTTTGGATATTTCTGTATAGAAAGAGAAGAAGAAAAAGAATTTGATGAAGGCTGTGAACCAAGAACAATGGTAAAGTCTGCCTCTTTTCTCTTTTGATACAATTCCAACCTAAGCGTAGCCAACCTGTCAAACAAGCCTTTTTACTGAATGAAATAACTCTCCAATATCGCGGGTTACAATCTATCAAATATTTTTCTCGTGCGTCATTGGTCTACACGCTTCACGTGATCGAATATTCCTCAGCTTAAACTGGTGAATATCCCAAAATGTGCCTCGTGTGATATTCCCCAATTTCGAACCTTACGCCAAATACGATATAGGAGTTCGTTTAAGATTAGATTCAAGCTCACAGTTTCTTCGAACTTCACTTTCGGAAAACCATTCGCTTCCCGGAACAACAAATAAAGGCTATTGTCTACATATGCCAAATCACCTTTTGTGGAAAATGAATCACCCTAGTGTTACAAAGCTGAGTTTACTTTCGGCTGGAAGCAAACACTTCTCCCGTGCATTGGAAATAAAGTAAACGAACACTAGCTAATGTCATCTCGGTGATTAAGGTAAAACCCACTGAGAACCATAAAACATCATAGAAAGGTACTTATCTTTGAAGTTTCACTTAAAAAAAAAATTGCACTTGACATTAAAGTTTTTACTCTAGAAAAAGCATCACGCTGCCAAAACAGAAAGAACAGCCATTTACCTTCAAAATTTAAGGATGACTTCAAATTTTATATTGAAATTTCTGCGCTACAAAGGACTTGAAATTACAAAGCTCGCCTTTAAAGTCTTTTCGAGTACTTATGATATTTGTTTTACCCGTTTGCCACCACACAGGAAACATTGGTAAATATCCACAACGCTTCTGGATAGGCTTGAAGCTTTATAAATTTATCAGAAAACTTGTCTCGGTAAGTTTGTAACTTGCAACTTTCTACACTTGGAGCGAGGAATTTAAACGAAAGCTGTCCTTGATCACTTTGCTCGTTCCAGTTAAACAGAACACTTCAACAAACTGTGCACATCTTTTTCGCTTGTCGATCTTGAACTAGTTCAAACACTCTTGAACGCTAATCTTGTCTTTGAACCTTCCTTAGATCGGAAATTACTGAATCTCGAGTAAATATTCAGGTACAGCTGTGTAAATTTCTCATAGTTGAATTTTCAATCAGCTTCGGTCGAAAAGCGTTGCACATATGATTCACGTTTTGCTGTTAGGGCGGTCGGAAGTAACATTGACTTCCGATCGCTTAAATTTGAAAAAAATATATTTTTCAACGAACAAAGTAGGCTCCCACAACTTATCAAAAGAGCATTGCCATTGGTTCTAAATCCGACCTTGAAAATTGACACATTAACAAATGTTTGCAATCTCGTTCTCAAAGGTCACGCTCTCCCTGTCCCTTGCGGGCGTTCCGCCAAAGCGGTGGACGACTCACCACGTGACCATGCTTTGAATATCTTAAGAAGTTTTCGTCTCCAGAGCGTCATTTGTCTTAGTCCTCACTATCGAGAGCTGGTTAGAATTATAGACGATATATAAAAGCCAATGAAAAATATAAACAAATAAAGGTGTTTGCTGTGCAATATCCCATGGACCAGCTGACTTTCTCTCCACTACGACTTCAGCTCCGATTTCAAACAGGGACCGGCCACTGTCTGTTGAGAAAAGCTCTTGATGAGTGTTCATCATCACTGACGGCTCCTCCTGAATGCACCACACTTTGGGTTCTACCCCTCGGTGGATAAGGTATTGTGCACGCATGCGTGGGGCGTGATTCCACCGTGGGCGACATTTTTTTTCCGAATGGATTTGTTCCCTTGCGGAAGGTGCAACGAATTGGAACGATGCGCTTCAGGGTTTTACGGAATCTTTCGTTCATTGCTGTGTACACGATGGGATTGTAGATAACCCAGGCCTTGGCTAGAAGATCCGGGATTTCTGCCAAGTCAGGTGTGAGTACATTAGTACCCCGGATGGTGGCCACGATACTGACGATAGCGTACGGAGACCAGCTCAAGACGAAGGCCGCAATTGACATGGCAGTCATGCGCACAACTTTGATTTCGGATTTTCTTCGGATGACTTGAATCGAAGCGCTTCCAATCGTTGGTTGCTGTGCACGGATATACCTGCAAAGTAAAGGATCCTGTCGAAAGCAGTTCTGTATTGTTTTGGTTTTCCCTCACATATCTATTTAACTTTCTTTGAGTTAGTTCCACCCTATCGACCAATAGATGCAAAATGAAGTCGATGGCAACCTTATGATCCGCTTTCCAGGTAAAGTTCATGTCATTTTTTTTTCCTCGTCTCTTTTTCTTTTTTTTTTCTTTTATTTCATTTGTTCCCAGACTATATGTGATACCTTCTTTAATCTTTGATTTCCGTTGCGGAAAGCAACATAATTCACTCAATGTTTTGTCCCGATGGAATCAGTTAGTTTTTTTTTTGACCATGAACTTCTGTGTTTCATAAAATAAAGTCCACGTTCTGAATGTTGATCATTCATTGCTAGTGTATTTCTCGTGGGAAAAAAGTTAAGAAATATATATCGAAAGGATATTTCGATTAGACCGCAAGACCACAAATTGCTTGTCGAAATTGTGGTAAGCAGCATCGGTCGAGTATAATAATTGCCTATAATAATTACCCCTAACAAATATTGTTCACTGACCTGTATATTCTGTGATAAGAGTAAATAATGACGCTTAGTGGCAGAACAAAGCCGACGAAAACCAACAATGCATTGTACGCCACTCCAGCTTTTGTTTCGGGCGACCAGTTCGGACAGCAGCTGATACCAGAGGCGCCGGGGACGAATTCGTTCCAGCCCACTAACGGCGGAACCATGGCCATCACTCCGTACACCCACGTAAGAATAATGATGAATGCCACCTTGCATCTGGGGATTTTTGTTTTGTTACTGACCTTGCTAATGACAGAATGCATTACCAGACTCATCGCAGTCAAGTTGGCAATGGAGGCGATACCAACTGAGCCATTGATAAATCCTGACCAAATGCACCGAGTCCGACTGTTACGAACGTTGAGCCCGGAGGAGGTAAAGTTGGCTGCGACAACCACTGGATATCCGAAAACGATAATAATGATGTCAGCGATCGCGAGGTTCATCATGAATGGGGTGATGTTCTTGTTTTTGTGCTCGTGGCAACTTAAGACTAACATAGTCAGCACGTTGCCAACAAAACCCACTGCTAAGATGACCGCCATGACAACGATATATACAATAAGACCTGTATCATTTGGACGGAGCTGCGGTTCTTGGCTGGCGAGTATCGTTTGCGATGTGCTTGGAGCCTGAATTGACAAGTTATAGGCATTCATCTTTATTTGAACTTTTTATTCCCTTGCTTTGATCCTCTGACACGTGTGGTTTAATTTTGAACAGGATCTGTATTAACTAAAGAAAAAGAAATGTTAGGATGTGAAAAACTGATTACCGCCAAATACTTCTTCAAAATTAGACCGAAGCGAAGCTGTATCAGTATTCACACAGAGGTTGTTTGAGGAAGATTTACTATTTTCGAAACAAATCGTTCAGCTACGTCAACGAGGAAATCGTACTCGCACTTGATTATCAGCTAAAGGTAGATAAGATCAGAAGCGAACGCGATGTTGTCAATCAAAAATAGGCAGTTTTGACAGAACACAGTTTAATTGTTGGCCATTTGACGGTAGATTTTATTCCAAATCCAATGTACCTCATAAAATAATACAATTTTTACTCTTGAAAACTTTAATGAAGCAATTTTTGATGAAAAGTTTGTTTTCAGCAAACTGAAATGGTGAGTACAAGTCGGACGAAGTGGAAGAAAGTCAGTAGTGTCCTTAAGTTGTATGAATGAATCAAAGGACCTGAACATAAATGTATTTTGTGCGCATTGTAGCCAAAGCTTCATGTACAGGATAATTTTTGTTCTTATTAGAAATAACAGCTATTATTAGCCGCCTTTTGAAAGGTTGACGGTCAAAATCTTCCATTTTTAGTCATTCACAATTAATATTTTAGCCATTTAAAGGTTAGAAGTTGATCCCAATCAGTACACTTCCTTCTGTGCCAAGTTTGTAAAAGGAAGAACTTAGTCTTTTCTCGTTAAATTCTGAATCGATCAGTCGATCATGATCACCAAGCGCACGATGATTTTTTGTCCCACCAAATTTTTCTAGGCCTTTACCAATCTTCAAAGGCGTCTTTGTCCTACCTCGAAGTAAGACAAATATTTGTCAGGCGTGATACAAGCCATGATTTGAAAGAAAACGTCAATCGGCAAATTAATTTCACCTCTCAAGTGCGAGTCTTTCAGGCAGTAGCCCGCAAAAATATGAGTGGCAATCAAACGGTGAAGATGGGAGAATCGTACCTCTGGATGCTGCAAGACGATCAGGACACTCAGAATACAACGGTCATGGCTCCCAAGTTTCAACTGCATCTCTAGGTCCAAGTACTGCTCGAATTTGTATATCCTTGTGATTGACACTTTGTGGTTAACAAATATATTGTTATTTTATTCAGTGCGCCCACGATTGACAAATTGAAAATCTGGGGTAGGCAAATTTTGTCGAGAGGTGGAACCAAACAAATTTTGTCAGCCCAATACTAGTGCTTTTTCACCAAATTGCACTCGAAATCATGTGGTTTCTTGTTAATAACTGACATGGAAAACGCATCAAAAAAAAGTCAAGACGGACGAAATTTTGCTACCGCGCGCCCGCTATTTGCAATTTGCACTCCTAACTCGTGCTACAACTTTGCACTCGTGTTGCATGAAAAATGCACTCGTATTCAGCCAATCAGACCGCGTAATTTTTTCATGTACATTACTATATAGGGTATTAGCATATACTTCAACAGTGGATAGCATTGAAGGTGCGCTCTGATTGATAAATGTCCATCACTAGCCACCTCTACCACTGGCCACCTCCACCACAAGCCCCCTCCACAGTGAACAGTTTTTAATTATTAAATTTCAAACTCCAGATATTGCATTTCTAGTGTTCTGATTGGTTCACTGAACTCTGTTATCTTCGCATAATCCAGCGAAGATCTTTTTCGCACGGGATTGGTCTGAATGCATCACCGAATATGCCCCAACTAAAACTGAAAATGTATCCGAAGTTGGTGAAAACTGGAGAACAGTTATTGGATTTCTAGCCATCTGATTGGCTAAACGGAGCCAGGTTATGAGCTTGTTACCAGCCCCGAGCCATAACTTAGCTCCGACATCTCATATCCAACGTCAAAGCCGCGAAGCAATGGAGGAAAAAATAGGTTTGCGTGAGAGCTTACGATTAAAGAAATAACAGAATTACAATAGAAAATACGACTCCCTTATCACCGAAACAGCCAATAAATTCGGCTTGAAAATCTTTTAACGTAAGCAACGGAAAACTGAGCAGTTTTTACTTGCTAAATTCGAAATATGATTTGGTTACATTTTGCGATAACATTTGTGACAGAGAAAGTTTAGTGAATTGTTTCTGGTGCATGCAAAGGCGACAGACACTGCACATCAGTCCACAGACAGTTCGAATTCGTTTGATTGAATTTATTGAGAATTATTCTTTTTACATTTATCGGAGCTTCGTTCGTTACCACCATAGTTTTCTTTAGATCTTCAACGTCCATCTCAAATTTCAAAGGTATTCTACCTAGTAGCAGAGTCAACGCATCGCTACTTATTATGTAACGTCACAAAAATGTTAGGCTTCGTTTTCCTCAACAATTCACTGAAATGCTGTGCTAGTTTTATCACATTTTAAGTTTTCCTGTCAGCGATGTTACAAGAATTTACCCTGATCAGGAGCCCCTACCCTGATGATGTCGAAAACATTTAGTTTGTATCTTTTAAAATACATTTTTTCCTAACAAATAGCTCAAAAACGATCCACAGCCCACGTTCGGACCTTATTCTGGAAACGAAAATCTAGACTCTATTCCAGAGATCAATCCTCGTTAATCATTAACGAAAGCAGCAAGAGCTGTCTAAACCATAACACTACACAAGGCTATGCCAGCCCCTTAAGGCGGCACTCGAATATCTTTCATACATGTCTTGTGCTGGCTGGTAGATCGCAATCTTTCATAATCTATAGAGCTTTATAGTAAAGTTCGGATATAACGCGCGCTGTCATTGGTTGAAAGAGCGTGCTCTATGAGAGTATAGAGCATAGAGCTGAGCTACAGCTGTCACGCCATCTGCCAATTGTACTATGTTCGACCTTTTCCGGGACTTCTTTTTAGCTTTTTTCCGATAATTGAAAGTGAAATTTCGGAACTGAAGCGAGCCGGCAAGTAGCAACAGAAGAATTAAAGAAAGGTTTGTAAACATACCAGGCGCCGTAATTTACGTTATTAAAACGTGAGCAGATACGAAAATCCTCGAAGGAAAAACAAAATAAACATTCCGAGTTTTAAAGATTTTCACGCTCAGTTAGATTGCAAGCTTACGTACGGTAATAAAAATCAAACAAAGCTAACACTCGTATAGTATATAAAGTTCAGTGTTCAAAAAAAAACAGAACAAAACAGAAATGATGAAAAATATAACCAAAGTGGCATAATTGTTAAAATTCATACTAATCATGACGGTGTCTGAGCGAATATGATCATGCTGAAGTTCATCGCGGCTCGCTCATCATGGCGATCTCCGGTCATCACAGTAAAGCAAGCCTCAGAAACTACATCGGCCGCCCTTTGGGTGAAAAAATAAGAGCTTGCTCTGATATCCTTTCCGATACGTTGAGTGGCAATTCACATCAGTCACTGCAGCCGAGTTTTGCGACGCTGTCATCACGAACAATCTTCATGTTCCGGTGAATTCGGCTGTCGTTCATTCAAAAAACACTCGCCTTGAACAGTTTGTTTTCTACTTTGTCATGTGGAAAAAACTCGCGTGCTTTTATGAGCCATAATTCGGCTGAAGTTCACTGAACATTTCACTTCAAGATTCTGTGTTAGAGACTTAAAAACTTCAGACAAAAGTGTTAAATTCGACTTGCCGAACTATTTTAGTTTGTAAACTATCGTAGAATGCGAACTTTGATGGTTTTTGAACTTTGATGGTTTGACACTTTTAACAGCTTTAGTCTTGTACAGCCAATCAGATTATTTAAACCATTCTAACAAGGATTCTGATCATGATTGGCTTATTGTAGCGTGCTTTATGAGAGTATAGAGCATGCTGACGACATTATTGTTCGCTTTGGAAATAAAGTTTGTTTTAAAAATTGAAAGTAATACTTGGGTAAGTGTAAGAAACACTCGACTACGTCTCGTGTTTCTCCCTACACTTCTTTCGTGCTCAAGCCACTTCCTGCGTGCTTTATAACAGAACAGAGCACAGTCAAGGCTTCTCTATTTGTTAAGTATTCAATGCTCATTTAATTCAAATGTAATGGCTTTCTCTTCCCATCGTTCCTTTGGTGCTTCGAAAGTTGTCTTCCCGTGGTTCACTGTGAGGTTCTTCTACTCTCAAGGTTAGTCCTTCCCAGTCTACGCTCAAGTCATAGAAAGCGACAGTCTCGTCGGAAGGCTGAAAGACGTTTACCACAAAATAATCATTAATCTAACGACCCAAATTCAAAGGAAAAAAATGTAACCAGACTTATGTGACAGAAACTTGAAAACTGCCAGAGATGACAATGGTTTTGATCTCCTTCACAATACGCTTTCTCCCGTCTAGAGTCCAATCGGAAATTGGAATAGGACATTAGTAAATTTAACATGTGTGATAGAGGCACAGAAACAAGATTCAACCTTAATTTTTTTGATGACATCTTTCACTTCATCCACCATGTTCGGTTCCTTGGTGAGAACAAAAATAAATCCACCCCCTCCTGCTCCGGACATTGCTTGCCCTGAACGGGAAGAACAACAGTTTAGGCAAATAACTGAACAATTCCGTCTGTAATCATACGAGTGATAACAAGATCGGACAACCACACGGCGGGACTCCGATTAGTTTATCACGAGTATGATTACATACCGAATTGGACGAAACGAAGTCTTATTACCAATTAATCATAAAATTACAATTTCCGAGAAAAGAAGAATAGCCAAGTTATGAAAGAAAAGGGAAAATTTGCATTAAAAGACTGACAAAGTTTGTGATTGGTCGATATAAACTACAACTTTGAATGTGATTTGCTTAATGAACTATCCGATAACAAACTGTTCGATAACAAATTTGCGAGTGAATTAGTGGAAAATAGGAGTTTTTTCAACCAATCGTAATCGAGAAAATTGTAATTTTAATGATAATGAAGATTAAAATCACACTGAAACTTCAACATACCATAGCTCAAGGGTTCGACTGCTTCTAGTAAGTCCTTGATTGCCTTTGGTTCAGAACCTACGCAGTAATCAATACAACTAAACCATTAAAACAAAGAATAGATGAGTACAAGTATTCCGACAAGTTTGAATGTTTAGCCAAGCAATGATTTAACATTGATCTAGAACTTTCTCTGCAACATGATTATTTAGAGACATGAAAAAGCTATAAGAGGTAAGAAATATTGCATCTTCACAGGCCCGCACTGTAAATGTACCTTCTAAATAACGTCACAACCATGCAGCTGAGCAGGACAAATACAAACACATAGCCGGAGAGGTTTGTAGAAAAACTTTTTCAAAACTATCCAGCCGTTACTCGGACTCACCAGGTGCCATAAGTGCTTTTTGATGTCGATAACATGTCCAGCAGGCGCCAAACTTCTCGATGTTCCCTTTGAGGAAATTGACAAAAAATTAACAGTGAAAGAGCATAATCTACAACTAGTTATCACAGCTATTCTTGACTTTGGGAGATGGCGTAGTCTGACCTGTAGCAAAATTACTTCAGAAGCAAGGGGGATGAAAGAAACCTACCTTCCCTCAACGCTTTTGCAGCCTCCTCCGCGTTGTTTATCAAGTTTCTGGCGTTGTTTGTAATCTGTGAAAATTTTGCGTACCAGTTCCTGACGACATTCTGTCAAGGGAAAAATGTTAATTAAAAAAAGAAAAAAATTGGGAGATCTTAAATATTAGAGTGCTCCAATTTGTTCTCTGATTGGTATTTGTATTAGTATTGGTATAACTCCCGCCAACCAATCAAATTCAAAACTACAACCAGTCGCGACCGACCATTTGCGTTTTCCCGCGCTTCAGTCTGCTTTTTTTTAACTGTGAATTCTCATCAGCTCCTCATGATAGTTGCCTTTCCTCTGATAAGCCGCTACCTCTTCCTTACCTGTAACAAGTTCTTGGCGAGCCGTGTTCTCCCTGAGTAAAAACAAACCAATCTCTTCGTGATTTCATCGACGGTCTTCCCACTAAGCTCCACTTTTTCCGTTTCTACCTTTAAAGGTAGGGAAGCCTGAGACCGAGCGATTTTAAAACCTGGCATTAGTCCCCCTACATTGTCCTGCCAGCCGCCGCCCGTAGTTAACATCTGTTCCACGACCATCACGGCGTGAATCAGTGAATCCATGCTGGCTGTGCGGTCAGTTACGCGTAAAAGCGCAGCCAGAATAACTCCCGCCAAAATACTACTTGTGCCCAGGCCACTTCCTTGAGGAGCGGTCGACCAGGTGTGAAGCTCAAAGCCGGCTTGATATTTTCTGTTCAACTGGTCGGATAATTTTTCGCTTGAGGGAAGAGTTACGATATCGAGTAAACAAAAACAAGCTTTCAAGAGGGCGCCTAAGGACAGAAAAACAGAGACAGGAAACAAACAAATGCATATTGTTACAAAGCTATGGATAAAAAGATCAAAAACAAAATAATTGACAAAGCTTGAAAAAAAACACATTTCTGTTCGCACTAAATAGGCACATTACTCAAGGTCTAACTCGTTTAGGGGTGAAATACCGGTAGGTCTAAGAAGCCGAACTTTGTACAGTTAAACGGTCCATTCCCAAAAAACGAAAACTTACGGTCGTTTCGTTCGCCTCTTATTTCAGTTTGGATACCTGAAAATCCAGCGTTTACTAGTCGACCTCAAAGACAGCGTGCCACAATTCAATCACGTGTATCGGGAACCTCTAGTTCAGGAGACTGGGTAATCATGGCGTCTCCTAGTGTTTCTCCCATTTTTTTATCACCTTTTACTGAGCAGATGGCATCATACCTGGGGCATTTGGTTGGGTGTAGTTTCCTAAATGCATTAATTCACTGCAAACGACTTGAACACTGTGTTCTCCTGAATGGATCACCAGAACAATTTCAAGCCTAAAGATTGAAATAAATTAATTGAATTGCGCTGATCGAAACAATTTATGGTTGTAATTGTCAAATTAAACTCTGCATTTTCACATCTTGACAAAAAGAATGGATCCAATACAATTCCCTTCAAACAAGCGAAAGCACTTACATTGTCAAAAATTCAGACTTGGATGCGAAGGAAAAGTATGAACAGGGAAGGGGACAAATTGACAGCTAAAAAGTTATGACATTGCCTCCACTATCTATACTGTACTATACTATACTGAAATTGTACAGTATACAGACAGAAGACAGGATTAACAGCAAGCAAATTTGCTTCGGAGACCCAACGATAAATGCATTTTGATTGTTATACTGACTCACTTGGTTATCTTGCGCACTTCAGCCTTTGAGACTTTCTGGAAAAAAAACCAACAACAATTACCCATTATACTAAAGGAAAACCGCAGAAGCCTCATATTTAAGCGTGTAGGGTTGGTTCGAGTCTCATCCGGTTCATTTTGCTTTGTTCTTAGATTACAGACTTCTCTCTAAGAACCCATCTCTCCACCTGGGAGAATACCTGGGTACCAACGAACTTCTAAGAAAACCTAAAGCTACACTAGGGAAAGGGAAGAGGAGATGGTGGAGGGGGGGGTCCTGCGAAGGAGTAGTTACAATTCCCTGTCAACACGCGGGATTGTTTCCAAATTATTAGTTATTACCAATATGTACATTCCCATTGGGCCCCTTCACTTAACCTATCGAATGACGAGGGACTTAAAATACTATATTAAAAACTATACAGCGGTAAAAGAAAACCCAACCTGTCCATTGAGTTTAACTGCAACAGTCAGCGCAGCTCCTCCCTGTTCGTAGGTAATCGGAGGCGTATCACTCCATCCTCCTGAGAGGTCTATTCGCGCTATTAAAAAAGATTCTCGTAGTCAGTACAGAACTGCCACTTCGGGCTGCGGATCGTCTTTCAACCAATTAGCATGCGAGTAGGCCCTCATTACAAGCGCTGCAGAATGCGCGTTTCTCCGCTGGCGGGAAGATTTGAGACGAGTCGGGGAGAGGTTTTCGGGATCTGGCATGATAACATTAGCAGTGCCAGACCCCTTACAGACCTCTCTTCGACTTGCGTTGTTCAAGGGCTCATTCTTCCCGTGTGCGAAGACACGCTCGTGCCCAAGCGCCTGCTCACAGACTATCAACCAATAAGAACAGGTCTGAGTCCACGTTACATTAGAAAGAACACCGTTTTTCTAGGCGGCCATCGCCCAAAATAGTAAAAAAAACAAAGGCCTTTGAGAATGCGTAGGTTTTCAAGATGGCACTGACGGTTACTGCCTAGAGCCGTGGTTCTTTTCAAGATCCGCCCCTGCATTTTAACAACATGATTCCTGCAAATACTACCCGGTTCAGACCCTTCATCCTTCATCTCATGATGCATGGCAAATTGAACACATGGCTTAAAATCAATCTCCCGTGATAAGTGATTAGAATTTCGTTTGGGAAAGCCCGTCTTTCCTTGAGATTTTAAACGTAGTCAACAGATGGTTACGGGCACGAAGTGGAGACAAAAGAGGGACGAAGAAAGGAAAACGTGCATCCAGGAGAAAGCATAACAAACAGCTGACGACGGGAATACCTAAATGAAAGCTTCGCATACCTGGTGCCTCTGCAATAACCCAGTGTCCCATAGGAACTGGTTCACAGCATTCTGTCTGAAAAAACTGACACAAAAAGGAAAAAAAGGAAAAAAGCTAGATTTCGTACATAAATTATACTTGAGTTTCGGGGCATTTTAACCTACTTTCTTCTATTAATAAGGGGTTGAGTAACACACCTGTCTGGCCGTGAGAACTGCTCTTCTTCTCAATACTTGCTCGGCTCCCTCGTAATGCCGCGCCGCTCGTATCAGCAAATGAGGTCTGATCAAAATAAAGTGGTCAGGACAGATAATTTGCAAAATAAACGCTTTCGAAATTGCTAATCAAAGCGCATGCAAGATGCCTATGACATAGAGGCCTTCTAACAGCCTAACTCGCCAATGAGTTCTCTGTAGCTCATCGGTAGAGCATCGAACGCAAAGTGGGAAAATCGAGGGTTGGAGTGCTCATTAAAACTAGGTAGGAGATTTGCTGTTATTTTAGTTTTTGTTCTTTGTCTTGTTTTTGTTTTAAGGTCTGTTTTTTAACTTGTTTGTTTCTTATCTCATTTGACGAACCAACTCAAATTTGCCATCTTGCATAAACATCTCCACTTTACAATACAGGATATATCCTTCATATTATTAGGTTGTAAATTTACCTGTCAAGCCATTTTGATCGTTCTCGGGCAAGGGCTTTTATTCCTAATGAGATTTCTCCTTTCTGTACGTGAAAAAAAGAGATACGTTTCCGATAATGCTGAAACATCGCCAAAAAATATCAAACCTTTTCGTTGACGCTGACTCAGTAAAAATGACAAAAATACACAGCGTAAGTTAATTTAGTCACATGACGATCTTCATGGTATATAGTTAAGCCTTCATTGCTTAATTTACGGTACAGTTTCAACACAGCGTTGGCCTGGCAGAGGATATTATTCATTACACATACATCAAGGAGTTCAAAGGCGTGCATCCAGGATTCATTGCGGGCCGGTCCACTTCTCAGCCCAGCCCTCTCTCCTGCCATTGCACCCAAGACGTCAGCAATACAGGCCAGAGTTCGTGCAGCCACGCCAGGGGAAGAGGCGCTGGACGCAACTGGGGAATAGAAACAATAAAATAACTGAAGTCAGTAATCGTTCTGTGGGAAAACTAGGCGACACGAACGAGTTAACAGGAAGTATCTTTACTTTGAAATCCTTTTCCAGAAAAATTATGTTAACAGAGTCAGTTGGAGGACTAAACAAGTTTCGAAAACGCAGAAGTTTGATCAGTCATCTTGGAGTTTTCTATTTTCATTCACCAAAAAACAGCAACAACAGATCGCTCCAAGTTGGTAGTATGTGAACAGTTTTAAAATTAGAAAAAGTTTTCAGAACACATATCACAATGTTTCATCACTGTCAGTATAGAACATTACTTTTATAAACTGGAGGAAGGATCACATGCATCTTTGGACACTTCAAGCTGCACTTGGCCATAAGCTGAAGATTAAGTTATGAGTACCTTCATCCAGAACTTCCAATATCTGCATTGCAAATCCTTCTTTCCCACAACTTTTGAAGAATGGCACCAGACAGTTACTCTCACAATTCTTCAACGTTTCCTCCACCTCAGTTTTTCCAATTTCAAACCAGAGTTTTTTTCTCCAAGCAAACTCTGCACTCATATCGACGGCATTTAAAATGTCCTTTAACGATAACCGCAGCGACGAACGCCACCTGATATACAAACAAATACCAAGACCAGTTTTGAGAAGAGAAAGTGTTTTATAGTTCTGTAACCTTTCACAAGAATGCATCATATTCAAGGAAATTGAGATATATCTGAAGCTATTCCTCATATCAGAAATCAGTGAAGAGAAACCTATCTTATCGCCAGCCGATCCCACATAACTTAAAATCTTCCTACCAAAAGATAATTGCAGTTAGATTCGCACCTAAACAGGGGTGTCAATAACCTTTTTCCATAGGCGGCTGTAGAGTATGCTCGCAGGCTAAACAAAGTGCGGAAAGTAGTGATAAACCACCGGTAACCGGCTGTTATTGAAGCCTCTGGCTAAAGTAGATGTGATATAAGGTCTAACTCTTTTAGGCCTCTTAAGCCTTACTTGTGATGCACCCCCCTCCCCCCAAAAAGGCATCTGGTAACCATCTCTTTCATTTTTCAAAACCTCTCACCTCTAGATGTTACCTTCCTTATAAATCTAAAGATGCACCGCGAGTCAACAACCCACCTGTTCAGTACTTGTCGATCAGGAATGTCTGAAACTCCAGTGCTCGCCAGCCAAAGCATGTCATCTTTACCAGCATCTTCCAGCAGAACGTCAAACGGGCGAACGACTGGAAACAGCTTGGCATTGTAGAGACTTCTCTGCTCTTCTGGCTGAAGAATTAAGAGGAGCATATTCACTTTTGTATAAGTTTACGAAGTACCTTTCGAAAAGATACATGTATTCCTATATCGGAATTCTAGCCCTTATCTAATGACTATTCATGGAATTACAGGGAAGATACTCACAGACAGAGCAAGGGATATACGTCTGAAAACTTATTTTCATTGCTTCCTTTATTTCGACGAGTGAGGGAAACACTCCTTAGCTCGTAAGCTGTCAGACGAAAGTTGAGTAATGATTTGAAGGCTACTGTACATCAATTTATCCTTCCCATAAAATCGTATTTTATACGAATTTTCCACTTTGTTCGACCATGAGTTTTACAATATGTTTGATTCTGGAATCTGAATACCAAAACGGTGAAAAGGTGAAGTAAAAATGTCCACTTATTCATGTGAAATAGCCAATGCTTAAAGTGATCTCGTACCACACCGATCCAGACTTCCTCAGGGTTGATTCCTGTTCCTCCAAAGAACACTTTCCAAGGCTTGTTGCAATATGAACTGTTAGGCGATGAAGCAGGTATCTGAAATATCATAATTGATTAAGTCACATTTAAAAAAGAGCTTTTAAGTGTGGCACAGACTACACGGGAACAGTGGAGGGGAAGGGGACGGTCACACACTCCGCTGGGATGACACATTTCTCACCTGAAGCTCATCATGAATACCAAACACCACCAGAACCCTCTGAGATTCTCCTCTCAAACCTGGTAGAGACACCTTGTAACCCAGAATACACAAATCATCATGAAGAACAGTCCCTGGAGGAAGGCTCTGTAAGAGGAGGGAGCAAAAACTTGAGGTATATCATCAGTTTTCTTTGACAGCTTGCACTGACTCATTTTTATCCCTGAGTAAAGAGAGAGGCGCTGGGAGATGTACTGCGTCTTCTCCATAAACACATAACAATGATGCAACAAGGTCTGGAACCTAGTCCTTTCGGTCCCGCGGTTATGTGGGTAACCGTGAAGTCGCTTTCACACAACTTCGTTATTCGAAACATTTTTCTTTCGTGTACAGTTAACAAATTGTAACACTGACCTTAAAGTCAGACGCAGCAATTCCTGCCAACACTGATCCCGATCCAAAGCTTAAATTTCCCTAAAGTGCAAATGGAACTTGTAATTAAAACTGGGACAAAGTATCAGAAAATAAAACTCAAAGACAGAAAAAAAAGGTAGAGTATTGGAAGAAGAATCAAGAAAGAAGTCCACGATTGCATTGGTTTTGATATTCTCCACTCTTTGATTGGTCAAGAAAACATGCATCAACACCCGCCCCCCCCCACCAAAAAAAAAATGGAAAAGCTATGTTTATAACCAATCATGACTTGTTCACCCACGTTTTCCGCACTTCAGGCGGTTTACTTGTATTTACTATGACTCCTTGTGTTATTTTTCCCTACCGCATTTTAGAAATTTGAAAAAAGATTACAGACATGCATGTACCTGTAAGTGACAGTGAGATACAACAGACTCTTTCCCGACGTTGACCCCGCCTTCAATGAAAGAATTCACGACGACAGAAGAAAGATCCACATTCGGATTTACGCCTTGGTTGTTCTGTAACCAAGAAAAGAAAAGTAAAGAGTCTAGGAGGGGGAAACAAATTGGACCGTGCACGATATTTTCTTAATAGATAATTTGTAATCTTGTAACACCACCTTTAAATTTCTTTAACTTTTTAGACCATAACATCAGTATGCAAGTTCTCCATACTGCTCTGCATACATTTCTCATGGTACCCACATTTGTCTCTTACAATCAAGGGCTTCTTGAGTTTACAATCATTTCCTTTTTTTGTCACGACCTTAATGTTTGATTCAGGGCTGACACCGTTAGGAAAAATTACATGCTTATCACTCTTGGAGTTGATGGGTGAAAAGCGTGAGCTGCGCGAAGGCCTGAGGAAAGGTAGGGAATGAAGAAAAAGCTTCGTTTTCCTTGTTATCGTTTTGCTGCTGAACAGAGAATCGCAAAAAAGCTCTGACGTCACAACTTACACATTGTAAAGGATATATTTGATTAAATTGTACCTTGTGGAAACAGACATGGGTGTGCATGCAGAGTTCAAATGGGCCAGTTGTAAAATTGGTAATGCTTCCTCGCATCTGTCTCCTGTAGCATTCCGCTGATGGCTGCATGTAGTCAAACTCACCCTTCTCGATGACAACTTAATAAAACAGAACAACATTTATTGTTTCCAATAAAAATCAAATTTTCATTGAGATCAAAGTTTCACTGAGATTTCCTTATACAATTGGAAAAAGGTGCTGAAATATTGGGCTTTAACATGTAGATGAACCTGCCACCCCCAAAAAGGGGCTCTAATGACTAACATGAAATGGGACTTACATGGGGGCCCTGTTAGCAAGGTTTGCCCCTGGTACATTGTACATCAACTCCTTGACAATCAATTTCTTGTAGCCAATGCTTGATTATGAATAATTTCAAAATAAGTAGTCAACTGGTCTATCATAAAGTACCTCCTTTCAAGGAGACTCCTCTCAGAATCTTCCACAGCTTAGCTCTTGCACCTCTCATTAGTGCCATTTCATCCTTGGAGCTGCACTCTGTTCCCATGGAAGTACTGTGGCCATATGATCCACTTCTTTCACCACAAACAAAGTTAGACTCAGTAACATCCTCAGCCAAACTCAGAAGAACGTCAAAGAACAGGGACAGCTGTGAAAGAGCAAAGAATTATCAATATCATGATAATAACACCTTTATCAACATCAACATTTGATTATTGGCCGTTCATTTCCTTAGTACCAGTGATCAGTGTGAAATTTGGTAACAACACAAACTAGTATTGCCCTCTCATGCCTATTCACAATTCACAATCTGATGAAGGGCATTAATACTTGAAATGTTAGCCTTAGAAACTCTTTAAAGAGGCCAATTTACATTATCAACTCTGCTGACAAAACCAAATTATCTTCTGATGGCCCCTCCCCCTCCCAATATGGCACCACTGTTTGTTTGGGAACGTACCCCCTAATTTCATACCTGTATGGGTTCTGCTCCATTGTCAAGTCCATAATAAGTACAGGCATCAAGAGTATTTACATCACTTAGTATTTTCTCAGCTACTGGGATATTAATGTAAACTACACCACTAATCTGTGAAAATGACAAATGAATCAGCATATAATTAAAATCAACAGTAACAACTCTGAGAAATACCATTTAGCCCTTTAACTCCCACCATGAGTGACCAAACCAGAATTTCTCCTCACAATATTGAAACAATATTAATCAGAAACATGATAAAAATAAAGAAAATATTATTAGGGAGTTATTAGTTCACAAATCCAAAATCAAATTATCCAAAAAAATCATAGGAATTGTATGGCAGACAGTAATGAGAATTACTAATGAGATTTTGAGGGAGGGGGGGAAGAAAGGATTCATGTGGAAATTATATTTTAGCACCTTGGTGTCAAATGGACTAGCTGACACTACAAAATCAAGCACAAAAAAACCAACCCTTCTACTCACTCAAAGTAGTCAGATTTGGAATGACCCATTCAGTAAGTAGCTATAGATGTTTCCTGGAGTAGAATTTCTATAACTGGAATTGGCTGCTTATCGCAGTTCACTCTGATCAAAGGAAGATATGTGACACTGATTGTTGCAACTATAAAAGACATGAGACATTATGGTCCAAGAGGTTTAGACCAACATGCTATTAAAAGTAAATTTAGCCTACATGCACTATACAAATATTTATTTACCAAGGGAACTTTGCCATTTTCAAGTGTGCAGGTTTTTATTATGTCTGAAGTTCCTCTGAAGATTATGTCTTTGACCCTGCCCTGCAAATGAGAAAGTTATAAATAAATGGTTCAACCGGTAAAAAAAAAAGAAAAAGAAAGCATAGTTTTCCATGAAACACATCTCTAATGAAAAGATGGCATTCAATCATTATTAATTCAACTGACTGAGATCGATATAGCGCAGTAGTGAAAGCATTGAATGAATGATCAAAAGTTGAGCTCAGCACTAAGCTTGATAGAGAGAGTACTGAATTACTGCGTAGAGAGGACAGAACTGTGAGATTGTGTCAGTGGTGACCTAAGTAATAGTTTGTGGTGAGCTTTAGTAAGTTTACTATAGATAATGGCTGTGTTGCCTTTAGGAGTCAATCCTAAGTACCAGTATATGAACTACTGTCTAGTTTGTAGGAGTGTACTGTTCTTTCTGTGGGTTAAATTATACCATAACAACCCCTCACACTATTTGCGGAGAGTGCATTGTGAGTGATCTTTTTCTGTCCCAGCAAGTCCAATCCTGCTACATTCCAACCTGCTTAATGTGTGAAAAAAATGGAATTACAATTTATTAAAAAATTACAAGCCAGCAAACAAGTGTTATCCCCAGCCTTCACTACCTCATCTCCAAGCTTCACAACACCGTGGTTTTTTGCATATTCAACATCTCCATGAAACAGCAGCATTGCAATACCATCTGAAAACTGCTTCCAGTTTATCCCTAGACATCAGTTGAAAGAATTGAAAGATAGCAACAATGTCAAGCAAACGATTAATACTGAAAATACATTTGAATCTGATTATAATTTTGTCATCACAGTGATAACAGTGACAATACTCAAGAATAAGAAGGTGACACAGTCAAACAGGATAATGATCAAAAATTACTATGATAATGGTGGTATGATGGTAATGATGATAATGATGGCGCTTGCAAATTGAATTCCCAGTTTTCTGGGAATTCCTAAGAATTCTCAAAAATTCCCAATTATGCAAATAACCCTTGCCAACTGAATTCCCAGTTTTCTGGGAATTCCTAGGAATTCCTAGGAATTCCTAGGAATTCTAAAAAACTTCCAACTACGCAAATATAAGCTCTGATTTGAAAAGCTTGGAATTACTGGGAATTTCTGGGAAAGGAAGACTCCAGTTCTGTGAGGACTTGGAATTCCTAGGAATTCCTAGGAATTCTCAGCTATGCAAACTACCTATAATTTAAGAAGGGTGGAATTCTTGGAAATTTCTGGGAATTGAATTTGAGGCAATTTAAATACCCTGAGGCCCAAATTGATTCTAAGAAATTCTCAATACCTTGAATGTGAAGGTTTTAAGAAAAGGAGTAATTTTAGAGGTTTAAACTTTGGCTCAATAAAAGGTATGCTATACAAAATTTACTAAGAGATATACATACATGTATATGTTTATAACTTAAAGATCATGAAATTTATTATTCAAACTAAGCTTTAGTAAATCTCTACATTAATATGGATTTTCTCATGAAGCAGCAGTCAATTATGTTAAATGCAAATTTCCAATTAATCCAATGTACTCATACCACAGATTTGCTTTCTAACCTCAAAGGACTCTTGCATTCCATGGTCATAAATGTTTTTATTGCAATGCAAGAGATCCTCGCAGCTAAGAACACCACTGAACTAGTAGTTAAAAATAGGACCTGAAAAAAATTCAGGCCCATACAGGATTTGAACCCATGACCTCTGCGATACTAATACAGCGCTCTACCAACTGAGCTAACAAGCCAACTGGGAGCTGGTCAATGTGTTGGGTCCAAATAAACCATCCAAGTGATGATTAATGATTTTAGATATATGAAATTCACATATTTGCACTACAGTGAAGAAACGAATTTAAGAGATCCTTGCAGTTAAGAACACTACTAAACTGGTAGTTGAAAATAGGACCTCTCCTCAGCCTTTGAATCGAGTGAAGATGGTAGACAGTCAGTCCTCCTAAGTAAAGTTTTGGCTACAGACTTTTCATGGCAAATAGGGTGGTAAAGCAAGGTATTTGTCGGAGTGGGTAGGTTTATGGTAGACACTTGTCTCTAAATTACCCTGAACCCCTCTGGACACATTTAAATCAAGAAAGGGCAAATTTCTATCCTTTTCACACTCAAGGGTGAATTGGATTGACGGTTCTACTGAATTCAAATGCAACTGGAGGCGCTCTGCTTCATTTCCGGATACCGCAGAAATAACATCATCAATATATCATTTCCAGAAAAAGGGGTTTAACTGGTGAAGTGGCTAAGGCCCTTTGAAAAATTCAGCTTTATCGGAGCACACATGCCTAACTAACCATACAATTGGGTGGGATAATTCTAAAATTATCACCCCTGATCGGCGTTACCACCAGCACCTTTGTTTGGGGGCTTGGGAGATTAACTCCGCCCATGCTCCTTTAAATCGTAACGATGGTGGCTTGCTTCCTGACGCCTATTTACACCTCGTCAGAAAAAAGGCCGCTAATTAGTGATCATATAAAAGGACCTCTTGTTGCAACGTTTAGATCACCCCTGATGAAGGCACTAGCCAGGAGTGTCGAAATGTTGGGTCTATGAATTGTAACTTCTTCAGTTACATCCATTAAATCTGTAAACCAGAGTAGCATCAAACCATGTCTGGAAAGGAAGTTGTTAGTGCTGTGGAGTTTAAAGAAGGGACAACAGTTGACATATTGACTGGTACAAACAAGGGTCGAGTGGCCATTTATAAAGCTACAATTTTGAAAGTTTGAGGTGAGTAAAAATTGTGATATTCGTTATGTGAGCAAAATCTTATCAAAGAATAGATACAACGGCTTGAATTATGCATACATAACACTCGGCACAATGGAAACTAGAATAATTCTGAGAATTGAATCGGTCACTTGCATGCTGCAGTTTCTTAAGCCTATGCCAACAATGAAATCTATCAGTAAGGTTTCAAGACTACTCTAGTCACGTTTTGGGAACATTCAAGATTCATAATACAAACTGTTACTAAACAAAGCTTATTACATAAAGAAGCCCTCCTTGGTAAAAACAAAAAACTGCATGTATTCAGCCCTTTTTCAGTAACATGTATGGGAGAGATGTACTAACTCCAATATAACAGTCATTCAATATAACAGAGATTTCCTAATCCCAGCGCACTTTGTTAAATTGAGATTCCAATGAATGCCCTTTTCCTTATAGCTATCTAAGGCTTTGTCTGAGCTTTTAACATATGTAGTGTTTCTGACAGCTGCCAATCATAATGTTCGGAATGCACACGCGGTCCTTATGAAGAGAAGTTATTCTGTAGTCGGGTTTCGGTCTCACAGGTTGATTAAAATATCGTTGTGTTTCTACCGAACGTCTCAGTGGTTATTCAGCCGTAAACACCACATCTGGCGACGAGGATGGGATAAAAAACACACACACAACAAAACCAAAAGGATTTAACGGGATTTCCGAAGTGATTTTCACAAAAAAAAATCCAAAGCGATCTCCGAAGCATTTTCCCGCGTAAACATCATGGCCATTTCTCTACCAAACTTTCCACCGTTTGAAGTTCACCTCGATGGAAATGCAGGCCCAAGATGGAAGAAATGGTTAGGAAGATTCGAGAGACTAACTATTGGAATGGGAATCTCCGATGATACGCAGAAGAGAGCCCTTTTGCTGCATTACGGCGGTCCAGAAGTCGACGAGATCTTCGACACGCTTCAAGACGTCGGTGGAGACAAAGATTACAAAAAGGCCGTCGAGAAACTAACTGCTCACTCTCCGCAAGTCAACGTAACGTACGAAGTGTACAATTTCCGGCAAGCCAAGCAAAAAGACGGAGAAAACCTTGACTGTTTTCACACACGCTTGAGAAGCCTAGCGAAGACCTGCGATTTCACAAATCCAGACAAAGAAATCAAAGAACAGATTATCTTGAACTGTAAATCGAATTCCCTGCGGCGCAAAGCTCTGCGAGAAGACCTCGACTTAGCCGGCCTCATGAAAGCTGAAAGACAGCCTGATCAAGAATCACGTGATGTCGTACTTCAATCCAAGAATCAAGAGTGAAGTGATAGTCGACGCGAGCCCTGTCGGACTTGGAGGATTGTTGGTACAGGATGGTAAAGTTATCAGTTACGCTAGCCGAGCACTCAGTGACGTCGAGAGCAGATACTCTCAAACGGAGAGGGAGATGCTAGGAGTAGTCTGGGCAGTCGAACATTTCCATCTTTATTTGTATGGATCAGAGTTCACCATTGCCACAGACCACAAACCACTCCTAGGTATCTTTAACAGTCACAAGCCAACGTCAGCGCGCATCGACAGATGGAAGCTGAGGCTCATGCCTTACAACTGCCAACTCACCTATCGACCTGGCAAGGACGCAGAGAATCCAGCCGATTTTATGAGCCGCCATCCAAGTAACATAGAAAGCAAGGAGAGCAGCATTGCAGAAGACTACGTGAACTATGTATGCAACCAGGCAGTGCCAAAAGCAATGACGCTGCAAGAAATCAAGTTAGAGTCGGAGAAGGACGTTTCGCTCCAAGCACTTATCAAGGCCATCGAGACTGACAATTGGACACATCCCGAAGTACAGGAGTACAGAAATGTGAAGGACGAACTGTCGGCCTACCAAGGAATTGTACTGAGAGGAAACAGGATTGTAGTCCCAAAAGTACTGAGAGGCAGAGCTGTAGACCTAGCACACGTTGGACACCAAGGAATGGTAAAAACAAAACGCCTCATCAGAGAGAAGGTGTGGTTTCCTGGTGTAGACAAGATGGTTAAGGAAAAAGTCGACAGCTGTTTACCATGCCAAGCAACAACTACTAGTAAGGCAGAACGACTCGAACCTCTAAAGATGACACCGCTACCAAACGCCCCCTGGAAAGAACTTGCGATGGACTTTCTTGGACCACTCCCTTCAGGAGAGTACCTCATGGTCGTCATAGACGAGTACAGCCGTTTCCCAGAAGTTGAAATCGTCACATCCACTTCTGCTAGATCCACCATCCCGAAGCTTGACTCAATCTTCGCTCGACAAGGAATTCCTGATGTCTTAAAGAGTGACAACGGACCCCCCTTCAATGGCGCGGAGTTCAAGAACTTTGCTGAGCATCTGGGTTTTCACCACCGCAAAATCACGCCTCTCTGGCCAAGAGCTAATGGCGAAGCGGAACGTTTCATGAAGACACTAGGGAAGTGCGTGAGAGCCGCTACCGTTGAGCACAAGAGCTGGAAACAAGAACTCTACAAGTTTCTACGACAGTATCGGGCGACACCTCATTCGACCACTGAAATTTCGCCGTGCGAAGCACTTAACCACAGGAAGCTCAAGACTACGCTACCAGAAGTGACACCACCAGTTCTTGAGAAACAGAAGAGCATGACAGATAGGGATGCAGAACAGAAGTTGAAGATGAAAGCATATGCAGACCATAAGTTAGGAGTGAGAGAGAGCAAGATCAAGCTAGGAGACACAGTCCTTATTAAGCAACCAAAGCGCAACAAGCTAAGCTCCCCGTTCAGTCCAATACCTCTCGTGGTTGAAGAAAAGAAAGGATCTATGGTTACAGCAAGCAATGGGAATAAAACTATCACGCGGAACTCATCCATGTTCAAAGTTGTCCCGAACCACATAAGGCATGCTGAAAAAGATAACACAAGGGCAGGCAGACGAAGATCTAACAGCAGAGCCTTGGCCACCAGAAGTTTCAGAACAAGACAAGTCATCAAGTTCTCCAAGCCCAATTACACCCTTGCGGCGATCTCAGAGGCAAACAAGGCTCCCTGCAAAACTGAAAGACTTTGTCCTACTTGTGCAATAGAACCAGACACTCGAAGCTTGCAGTTGAACTTTGTGACAAGCTAAACACGTTCCAGTTTATCGTTCTTAATCATTAGAGTTCAGTTGTTTAAGTCGATCTTTTCCAGACATACATGTATTCAAGTTTACAATCAAGAAGGGGAGAGATGTAGTGTTTCTGACAGCTGCCAATCATAATGTTCGGAATGCACACGCGGTCCTTATGAAGAGAAGTTATTCTGTAGTCGGGTTTCGGTCTCACAGGTTGATTAAAATATCGTTGTGTTTCTACCGAACGTCTCAGTGGTTATTCAGCCGTAAACACCACAACATATATTTATATATATGTGTATTTTTTTTTCAAATTCAGATGCCATGGAATCCAGATACAAAATGGTCAAGCTTCTTGTAGACAACCTTATTCAAGGCTTACTGGGAAAGCTGTAAGCCCAGGAAAAAAAGACAGACAGCAGCTAAGTCTGCAGTTTAGGATAACTTCATTCTAATTTATTGTTACAGTTACAACAAGATTGTAATTAAAAAATCGATTATATTTAACTGTAATTAACCCCTTCACTCCCAAGAGTGCTGGGTCAAACTTTGAGAAGAAATCTTTGCATTTCAATGTGCAGAATCAACGAAAACAAAGAGTAAAACATGAAAGTGCTGCTTGACAGCTTACATTGGAATGTTCACACACAAGAGTTTTATCCAAATAAGTTACAACCACATAAAATCAAGTCAAAGCCTGTGTCTGGGAGTGAAAGGGTTAAATACCATTTGCATCATCATCCAAAATTAAATGATTCATTTTAAGACTTTTAGACTGATAGTATTTATTACAATAAATATAATAATTTTAAGATATTGTATTTTATGGAAAGAATCTGCAGATTTTATTCACAATTTGTGTCTAACCAAATTTAATGATCGATTAGGACTATTTTACTTGAATAGCTGTAATAGAGGATTAATTCCTATGAAGTTTTCGAGAAAAGAAATAAATCAAATTCCATCCTAATATTACTACATGTTGATGTTAATATACCATCAAAAATATTTGACAATTGTAAACCTTAATTAAGCTTGTAAATAAATTTCATTGAATACTTGAATTTTAGCTGGGATTTTTTAATTTTTAGTATTTATTTTATATTAGTAGCCTCAAATTTTTGCTTAAGATTCCCAGTAATTCTCAAACATTCCTAGACCTCTTTTCCTTGGAATTCCTAGGAAAAAATTCCTAGGAATTCTAAAATCCATTTTGTAAGGGGATTAAAGCAAGCTTGCAACCTAATTTAGCAAAAAACAAATGATTTCATACGTGTATCAGGTGAGACAGTCAACATCATGTCTGTCCTGCAGACCCACACTCCGGGGGGAGCATTTACTGACAACTGAAAAGAAATTTAAAATATTAATTTGTTTATAAGCTGACTTCTGAATTATATATCACATTGTAAGGAGAAATAAGAAGCTAATCACTCCTACCTTGATCTAAGTATAAATATAGGATGATTCCTAATAACTGTACCTTGTTGGAGACAACGTCAAGCAGAAGGTCAAAGTTTGAGACAATGCAGTCACATAAATGCTCTTTGGATTCTTCTGCATGTTTGCCTGGTAAAGTATTGAAGAACCGCCCACAAGAACTAAAAGGAAAGTCTCGATCCTAGTGACCAAACATATTTTTTAAATCTTGAGTCAACAATTAATCTATGATAACAGAGAAAAACAATTATTACTTTGATTAACATCAGATTCTTGCAACCAAAGAATTATGAGTTTATTGAATATCAAATTTATGTACTTGTCAATTGAAAGAATTGTGAAAACAAAAGGATCAAATTCTGCCACGACACAATACCTACATGAATACACAACTGTATTAGTAGATACGTAAAAACTACTTGATTCTAACATGTTTCAATGCATTGATTATGTGACCTGACTCACAAGTAACAGGATCCAACCAGTCATCTGAAGAAACAAGTAAATTCACTTCTACAAATTTCTGAATTAAAAAGATATGAAGTAAATTAAGTACCCACCATGTGCATAATAAGAATGTTGGCATTTTCTAAGACACTTTGAGTCAAAGTCTAAAAAATAAATAACAATTAATCAGTAAACAGAGTACCAGCAGTCACTTTAAACTAATTTTTAATGAATCATAATAACCACATCACCTATGGAGGATACAAAAAATTTGCAGACAGACAAGAAAAACAAGGATTACAAGATTAATATAAATAAGTCTTTACAACACCTGAGTTGTTATAATAATTCCAATGGAATGTGCAAATGGAATACTTGGAAGAAAGCTCACAATTAAGGAACATGTACATGTAGGCCTTAAAGCAAGAATCTCCAAAAATATAGATATAATGTTAAGTTATTATTTAAGAAAGGACTGCTATACAGACAAATATTTGTACCTCATGACCAGCTTTTGCACTCAGATGTTCCGTAACAACAAGCAATGCATTTATAGTGGCTCCACCACTTCCTATACGAGCCTTGGGATCTTCCAAAGTTAGAAGCAGTACATCTTTATCAAGGAAACTTTTATTCTGGTGAATTTCAAGTTCTGGTGAGAGAAAAGTTTCTGCCTTTTACAAGCATATCTTGCATTTTTAGTCCTCAAGCCTTCTGATTAGGGCTTCAACTATACACAAATAAACTAACATTCAATTTCAACATGGTATAATCAATTCTGCTTTTAGAGAGAGGCCTGAAAAAAAATCTGAGATTATCAAACACCTGCATAATTCACTGTTTCTTAAAATCCCTGCTTAAATTTTAAGCTTCAAAAAATTTTTCACTTTAAAGGGGTTTTCAGATCAAATAACAGTGAGGATAATTTTTCCTCTCTACTGGTGAATCTAATGCAAAGCTGTTTTTTCTCAGTTTTAGTTCATTTGTTACAGTAGTGTCCAGAGGTAAACTAAATAAACTGTAACTTTAGTTTTATATCTTAGGGGAGGGCCACAAGTTTACCAGTTCTTAACTTTAATGTGTCACCCATGGCAAATATAAACTCATTAACACCTGAACCGCACAAATTTTGTACAAAGACACCAAGCGCTTGGCTCATTTATCCCCACCACGATAACGCGCGTGACTAAAATTAAGCGTTATTAATTTTTTTCTTTTACTGAGTGGTATAAATAATAATGCACCATTATTCATGAAAGACATTCATACCACTCGATCGGTGAAAGAAAAAAATTAATAACACTTAATTTTAGTCCCGCGCGTTATCGTCGTGGGGATTTGGGGTCATTTTCCGCCATTCCGCCATTCCGCCATTCCGCCATTCCGCCATTCCGCCATTCCGCCATTCCACCATTCCACCATTCCGCCATTCCGCCATTCCACCATTCCGCCGTTCCGCCATTCCGCCATTCCGCCATTCCGCCATTCCGCCATTCCACCATTCCACCATTCCACCATTCCACCATTCCACCATTCCACCATTCCGCCATTCCACCATTCCATCATTCCACCATTCCACCATTCCACCATTCCATCATTCCACCATTCCACCATTCCACCATTCCACCATTCCACCATTCCACCATTCCACCATTCCTCCATTCCACCATTCAACCATTCCGCCATTCAACCATTCTGCCATTCCGCCATTCCACCATTCCGCCATTCCACCATTCCACCATTCCACCATTCCACCATTCCACCATTCCACCATTCCACCATTCCACCATTCCACCATTCCACCATTCCACCATTCCACCATTCCACCATTCCACCATTCCACCATTCCACCATTCCACCGTTCCACCATTCCACCGTTCCACCGTTCCACCATTCCACCATTCCACCATTCCACCATTCCACCGTTCCAGCTTTTAGGGTCGCCCGAAAAATAATGGACATCAAGGTCTCAAAGGCGACAAAATAAGCTTTCGAGTCGACAACACTAAAATTCTTTAAAGCGATGCGAATTAGGGCCGTAAAGTGAAAACCAAACTATCGGACTTCAAGCGAGGCCTAGAGACATTGTGAAGATTCAAAAGCACGGTAAATATCATGTTTGAGTAATGAGATGTCCAAAAAGTATTGTTTAATAGATGATTTTGTGTTAAAACGTAGAACTTTCCGTATTTTCAACATAACGCTGCGCAATATTCTAGCCGTGAAGTCAAGAAAACATCGATCTAATGCACTAGTCAGTGGAAAGCCCCGCACCCCCATACCCGGGGAATGCGGGTCATTAGCGGGGGATTTTAGCGGTTTTTAGTGGTCATCTTTGCCCCAGTGTGCGGGGTGTTCGACAACATTAGACACAAATAACAGCGACCGGGGACCGTTAGCGGGGCTAGCGGGGCTTTGGCGGGGATTTCGCTTTTGAATAGGCCTGCAAAGAACACTGGGAAAGCGTATGATCTCAAAATGGCGGCCGCCAACAAGAAGGTATGTACGATTTAAAATCCATTCTTTTCATGCTTGTAATGGGCCATCGATTAAATTCTGTGTTCAATCTCTAAATATTATCATGTCTTGTAGTGAAATTAGAAAAAGTTGGGTATTGTTTATGCCCTCGTCATGCTTGATTAGCGATTTATTTAGAGCGTTGACCTTTTGTCTTTTGGCACTTGTTTTCATTTCCGTTGCAACTGTGCAAACCGAGCCAATGGGCGTTTTTTATTTGTTGTTTTAAATAACTGTATTTGTTTTTTCATTGAAATATGTTTCTATAATGTGCTCAGCGTGTCAATTTACTTTTAAGTCTTGTGTTGGATCGGATCGATTTTCAGTTTTCCGAATCACCATGTTCCAGTTTAGTCATTTACACGTCCAGAGAAAAGTTTACAGAACTATTTCTTACCAAAAGGAGTAGAGGAAGCCATGATCGTTTCATCTATTTTATGAAGACATTGAAAAAGTTTTTGTAAGAGTTAAATTTGAGGCACAATTCTTGAAATAAATTAATTTTGGTCAACGTTGTGTATTTGGGATTTTTCAAGTATTGCCCCGGGGGCGGAGTACAAAAATGAGGTTTTGACATAAGAAATTGCCCCGCATAGCGGGGAATTTGCTTCATTTAGTTGGGACGCCTGGTCTAATGACCCGCTATTCCCCGGGTATGGGGGTGCGGGGCTTTCCACTGACTAGTGCATAAGCATGATGAATTCTACTTCGTGGGTTTCGCACACGTAAGAAATTCGTACGTTTTTCGGTTCTAACAGAAAAACGTTCCTTGGTCAGTTTTGTCTTTCTTCTCATTTATAATTTCCATGTAAGGAACTTGTCAGAAATTAGCAGGGGGGGAGGGGGGGTGGGAATTTTAAATTTGGGTTCGGAAATTAGGTGACCCATCCCTGCAATGGGAGTGAAATTTGCTAACCCTCCCCTTGAGCTTGGCCTAAAATATTATGACCCTCCCCCTCTTGTATAAATGAAAAGTACATGTTTGTTAAATTCTTGCTATAGTACTTCACAGTTTATATCCATAACGTTCCGTAAACCGTTGTATTTTTCTCTTTTTTTTTGCCAAATAAAGAACTTCCTTTTTCTTCTGTGGGTGAACCTCTACATGATCACGGGCATATATTTGCATGACCCTCCCCCTTTTAACTGCCCATTTTTCATGACCCCTCCCTTTTCTGAGGCTCAAAAAGTTGTGACCCCCCCTCTGTTTCCACCCCCCTCCCCCCCTGCTAATTTCTGACAAGTCCCTAACATAAGATCTCTCCATACACTGATAAATTTGCATGTTCACTTTGAAATCCGATCCACATACTTTTTTTGCACACGTGCACAAAAATTTACTGATTTTTATCTTTTATCTTGATTTTAGAGTAAAAACTTAGGCTGTGTTTTCACTAGGCCGATTAACTAGCTGAACATTCTTTCTAGGTGTTTGTTTATAGAGCGACATTTACTAGTTAAACTTGACATCTGTTTTCACTGTGAAATTTAAGCCGTTTACTCAGAAGATTCAAATTACAAAAGCGCGCAACTCTAAAAAAATGGCGGGAGACGAAGCATTTTTAATGACTTCTCTTGTGCTGATTCTCGCCATATTCCTTCGAAGGAGACGACGTTTCTTTCAGAGGATGCGACTAATGTCTCGAGGAATGGAGAGGACGCGACGGATTGTGGTAATCCGGACAATCCAAAACACCCGCTATCGCCGTAACCACAAGACAGTGTGGGTTTGTCCAAGACCACAGTCTTGGTTTGAACAGCTCCTTTTAAACCGATATCAAGATCGTCTATGGCGAGAGCACTTCAGGGTAAGCAGGGATACATTCCGACACATTTGTGGTCTCGTTGGCCCTCAGTTAATGCGGCAGAATACAATTCTTCGTGAAGCAGTCACCGTAGAGAAGCGAGTGGCTGTTGCTCTGTGGAGGTTAGCTACTGGAATTTCGTATAGAACCGTGGGATTAACGTTTGGGATCGGCCGATATACTGCCATGAATGTCAAGGACGAATTCTGCTCTGCCTTGATGAGAAGAGCTAATGATTTCATCAAATTTCCTAAGGCTGAGGCCGAAACAAGGCAAGCAATACAGAAATTTCAAGACATTAGTCACTTCCCTCAGGTTGTAGGAACACTTGATGGGTCTCATATACCAATTAAAGCCCCGAAAGAAGAACCAAACGAGTACGTAAATCGAAAAAGCTTTCATAGCATTGTTTTTCAAGGTGTTGCTGATGCTAATAGAAAGTTCTTGCACGTGAGTACCGGCTATGCAGGGAGTATTCCCGATGCTCGCGTGCTACGAATGAGCTCCCTACTCAGAGCAATAGAAGACGGCGATATTTTGCATTCCCCATTGCGTCGGCAGGTTAAGCCACTTATAGTTGCTGACCCAGCTTACAAACTGACGACCTGGTGCATGAAACCTTTCCCTCAGACCAGAGCCCTGACCGACCGGCAGAGAGATTTTAATAAATCCCTGAGCAGTGCAAGGGTAGTTGTTGAGCAGGCATTTGGACTGTTAAAAGGGGAGGTGGCAGTGTCTACTGGATAAGCTAGATGAATCAGTGGACAAAGTACCCCAGGGCTCGAAATTAGCACTCGCAAACTCGCGAAATGCGAGTGGTTTTTCGAAGTTGCGAGTCTAAAAAATATCCTCTAGCAAACATTTGCTAGTTAGGTTCCTTCTTTTGCTAGTAAAAAAAATCTTACTAGCAAAACTTTGCTAGTAGACAAAAAAGTTAAGTTCGAGCCCTGGTACCCTCTACAATTATTACCTGCTGTATTCTACACAACATGTGCCAAGAGGTCAATGATGGCACCGAAATTGATGTCGCCAATGATGAGGATGGGTTTCTCGGAGTTCCCCTCCCAGGCCATCATATTGATGCGGCTTGGTGCAAGACTAAGGAACACTATAAAAGACACTTTGTACTGAAGCTTTAATAACATGAACTCCTTCATTTACATTTCACTTATTCTTTGTCTTTAAATTCCTTTAAAAAATGGATGACACTGTAACATTTTCAATTGGGACTTTTTTGATGTCCATGAATTATTTGGAATATGGATTTAAGTAGTCAAAAGGGGAATCCATAGTTCACTTCAATCAAGTTAAACAGTAACGATAACTGCAAAACAAAAATG